GTTAAGTAGGATGAGGTCACGTAACTTTGGTAAGAGCAGAACAGGTAACAAGAGGTGAAGGAGGATAAGTAGTGGGAAAAAAATAGACAGGACGATGATCACCAGTATAAAGATGGTGGCTGCAATAATATGATAATAACGATCGTCATGGTGATTATGAAAATGAGAAGGACGATGATAATTATAATTCTTATGATGATGAAGATTGTTGCGATGGTAATAATTACGAAGATACTGTCGACAGGATAACGTCAAGCTCACATTTAAAAGAAAACTTACTTCAGATCTTTATCGTCTCCGTCCAACTTCCAGTGATTCTCTTCGTGTGTTATCTGAACCTCTGAAATATACCACAGGCGATTTTAAATCTTCCAATAACAGTTTAAAAAAAGGAAAAAAACTCATGGTGATAAAAGCGGAGCTCAAAATCGGACTTTATGGAACCCATTCTTCGTAGGCACTCATATCTATTTTTGTTTCACCCACGCTATTGACAAATCGGGTAACATCTTTCTGTAACCTGAAATTCTTTATGAAGATAAAAAAGAAATTGTCATCAAAGTATTTTGGGTTAGTGAAGTATATTCTTAATATCCCTGACAAGATCTGTCACAGAAGCATTGGCATTCTTGCCTTGGAGTAAGACATAACCACGGAGAAAAGTCGGTAGAAATGAGTCACTAGTTCTCTATCCCAATATTAAATCAAGTGGTCCCTTAATAGGAGTTATGAACTTTCTTTGGTCTTACCATTAAAAGGACAAGATTCTTTCGTATGCACATCAACACCACGAAGATCCTTCCGGAACTGAGGCCAAGAAACAAGTCCGCCACGTTCTACCCCACACTTGGAAGAAAGAACTGAGAGGAGAGAGTGCTCCAAAACGCTTGGCCATATATTTACATGCCCTACCATGCCGGTGTAATTAAACTTTTCCTCCGCTCCGATTCCTAAAGTAAAGGTCTCGTTCGAGGGAAATGAGTTTCCGGATTTTAAACCATTTTCACTTCGAATTAACCGACCGTCGTAATAGATCATAAAATGGCCGCCATGTTTGTTCCATGTAACACATAGTCCATGCCATACGCCGTACTGGATTTGAGGCATGATATCTAGTTCTCTGTTGAGGAAAAAAATAATCTCAGGAAAGGAAATGAATCTTTTATCAAAAAAGTTTTGAAACCAGCTGAATTTCCTTTGATTCACTTTATAAACACAAGACAGGAAAAAAAAGGGTTGAAAATTTCAATCGTTGGAGAAATTTGAACTTCCACCTATGTTATACCTGGATATGACTGAGATATCTAAAAAATATATTTATTGGAATTCGAAAAGGAGGTAATTTTTTCTGAGACATCCATATATCTTTTGTCGCCACTGTTTATTTCAACCTTAGGGAAAACCATTGTTTTTCTGTCGCATTAATTATTGTATTTTGAATTAAGAAATAATCGTACTCCGTTTGCAGGATGCAATGCGGTCATGGCATTTTAGTGTAAAATCGAACATTAATGTGTAGGGAAAACGGCTTATAAACTGGGCCCTCATAAACTTTTGAATATTAAAAGCGCTATTTCTCCAATAATATTACAGCTGTATTAAAACATCTGCCATTATATGGAGTCCACAAGCGACGTCAACACAGATAAGTTTTCTTTCACTATAGTATCCTTGTCTAAACCCTGACGTGCTTGTTTGTTTTTTCTTTTAAAAAGCAGAAAAAACACACACACACACACACACAAAAAGAAGGAGACTAGGCATTCCCTTCCAACAAATGACACATAAAACGACGATTGCCAGCGTTAAGAGCTCGAGAGCTCGACAACGACAATTTCCAAGGAAATTGACAAAAGTTTATGGAAATTTTCACCCCAGGGCTAATTTTCTAAATTTTTATGGGGAATTCAAATAAAAAATAATTCAAGAGCGCACTCATACAAGAGTATTAGCTAATGCAAACACAGACTAAACTGGAGAGCAAAATAATAATGATGAAGAAATTCTGACAAGGCATATGTTGTAAAGAAATTTTCTTTTATTACCTGTCTTCACCATGGATCGAAATCCATAGCTGCCCAACATCACCCAACCTTAAGGCAAAATATACGTTAGACCCTGCTTCATCAAAATAACGTAGAAGTCCAAGATCCGAGCCCAGCGTGGACGGTTTTAACCATAAGCATATCGTGAAAGCATCGATGTCTTTGTCTCCGTTTATCCTGACAGTCGAATATGCTAACTGAGACCTCTGACGGCTTGGAAATTCTAGACTGAACTCATGATCTACAAAACAGGCATTTTAAAGAAGCATTTTAATTTGGTGATATATCGCTCAACCGGCATCTTTTGAGGTATCGTAAAAGCACAAGAAAAGCTCAATTACTAAGATTCTTGAAAGCACAAACCAGGTAGGGTGTTGAATAATCAATTTTTATTTCGCATGGCATCTATTATGCCGAGAACCTGATGTTTTGACAGACATGAAAAACTATGCTCGCAATTATCATAAATTTTTCTCAGAAAAACTGTACCTTTGAAGTGAAATGTGTTTTTAATTTTGCAAAGTCTAATAAAGGTTCGGTTTTTTTTATTTTATCACTTGAATATATGAAATTTTCGAGTAGGATTTCATAGAGGACTCATTCTGTAATTCCTCAGCGATTAACACTTTCATTTTAAACAAACATAATACCTGAACAAATGGATCCTCCGATCACGAAAATCTTCGAAAAGGTGAGAGTTAACACCTAAATTGATAAGGAAAATACTGTAGAACGTTTTGAAACAAACATGGTATCTCTACAAATATACGTTTAAGCTATATTTGACAGAAGTAAAAGCAAGAGGGTCACTTTAACACCCGTCTCTACTTACCAAAATGACCAATTTGGAGATTATAAAAAGCATGATGTGGTTATCACGGTCAGAAATCCCCACCAAGTCTCCATTTACATGGTCTTCAAATGGCAAAAATTAAATTGAATCACTAATTCTAACATACGAACAGACTGCTCTATGAGAGCAGGGAGAAGAAAAGACAGCGATGAATGTACTCTAAATTAATTGAGTGAAAGTGAAGCAAACGGATCGGGAATAATTTTGTTTCAATACGTTACTGGTAGTTAAACTCCTGTAGTTTCCTTTACCACCTTCTTTAAAGCAACTCCAAACAAGTCACTATTCATGTTAAAGTAAAAACCGGCCTCCCCAGAGAGAATCAGATGTTTACCTAGTGAAGGAGCTTGGTCACCTGCCATTGGTCAATACGCTCAACATGCCATTAAGACCTTTTGACGGTTTGCGTGCGTTATGTAAAGTCAATTTATAAAAGCACAAACAACGTGTTGAACCAACATTGCTTCGACATAAAATGATTAATTGCAATCTTGCTTAAGACTGAGGTAGAACCTAAAAGCTTGTTCAATTTTTTGCCCGATTCTAAATTGCGAATTCGTGTTGAGTAGGGGGTATGTTTGTTCAAACGTATTATATGGGAGTATAAATGAATGCAGGGAAAATACAACAAAAAAAAAAGAAAAAAAGAAAAACAGTAATAAATTAAAAAATAATAAAACAAAACTAACAGTTATTTCTGAAAAGGGCCTGAGATAAAATTGAAATACAAACATGAACAAATTTATACCAAATCACATGGATTTTTAATTTATTTCACGCTGAATGTCTGTTATCGAAGAAAAGATTCTCGCGAAAACAAACAAATAGAACAAAAACTCACCCTCAAAAATAAATAAGTCAAAGACATGATAGAAAGTTGATTGATTATTGAAACTAGCCATCGGCCAAATGAATCAAAACTAAGTAAATAAACAGTTTGCATGGACAATTTCAAGAATATAGAACTTTTTCCTCTAAAATATTTCGATAACAGAAAAGAAATGTATCCAGTACTCCTTGAAACCTGAGTTTTATAGAAATTGTTTGCCTCTGACTATTGTTATTTTTGAAATAGACGTTCAGTTCGGCTAATGCTTAAGCCTTCATCAGTGAAATGAAAAACGAAGATCATTATCATACGCTATTTAAGGTTAAAAACGTGGAGTTAAAACCGCCAGAAGTCAGGCATGGTGTACTAAATCAGCTGCACACAGTGTAATTTTAAGTACTATAGCCAAACAGAAAGATCATTAAAGACCAGAACTGTGGAGCACAAAAAGGCAGTTGCAGGTTTTGACATAAACTCCAAAGTCGCAAGCCATGTCCACCTTTTAGACCATAACATGGATTTGACAAACGTCTGGGTCATTGGTTTCCAAACTAATTACCACGAGATACTTTTCCTTGAAGCCTGGCACTCTACTTTGGATCCGAATGCGGGGAACGTTGACATCGTATTTCCAGAAGCCTATAAAGACCTCGCGCGAGCATCAAACACATAGTTACGCGCGCAAGCTTCGCGTCACGTTTTTAACTTTAAATAGCGTATGATAACGATCTTCGTTTTTCATATCACTGATGAAGGCTTAAGCATTAGCTGAAACGTCTGTTTCAAAAGTAACAACAGTCAGAAGCAACCAATTTCTATGAAACTCATGACATCTCCTGACTACACTTTTTTCACTCCTTGAAACCTATTTGATTCATTTCCTTTTCATATATACTCTATTCCAGCTGAGCTGTGTTTATTAATGGTTTGTGCGGCAATACTGATGACACCACCATTTCACTATCTTTCTATTAACATCTAAATATAGAAACACTAATATTACCCACGTAGATGGTATGCCTCTCTCAGGTGGTGGCATCATGCGTGATGTAACTATTACCAACGTAAAATTAATTATAAAATGTCCGGCTTATTTACAGGCATCTTACATGTTTACGGTAGCTCCAAATTTTATTTGAAATTATAATATAATTTATTTCAACGCTTTTAAAAATACCTTTAACTTCTAAGACCCCGGGAGAACCCCCCTGAATAGATATTCAAATTAAAGCTACCGAACAGAACTTGTCGGTGTTACTGTTTATTATGTGGTACAAGCTTGGTCTTCATGTATATCCTAGATTTTTGATTGCAGCTATTGATTGCTACTGTGGGGTGTATTCAGGGGATACTGTTTGTCATGTTGGAATGGTGATGCTAGCTTTTACCAATGCTTTGGTGGGTGGTTACACCCTTCTAACGTGACCACTCATTCAGACCAAACGATAAATAAAATTTAAAGACTTTTTGATAATAAAACTCTTTTAAAATAATACTATTTGCTTTATCAACTACATGGAAGCCATTTAGCCGGAAAAAAGAAAGTTCTTAAAAGTTAGCCTCGCGTTAAGGCGGTTTCTTTTCGAATCGCCACTCTGGATATATCACAAGTTATATTTATCATATTTTGACTTTCACATTGCTTTCTTCGATGAAACCATAGGTTAACCTTCGCAGCAAATGCTCGATTCAGGTTTCCAAACTTTTTCCACCTAGTTAATCAGCTGGGTTTACGAAACCTTAAGAGAAGCCGCCAGAATATTTCGAGAATCGAAAATCAGTGACGAAAACTCGAATTTTTTT